ACGGGCCAGCACGCCCCGAAGACAGTTCAAAAACACTTATGATTTATTCTACACAAAAGTAAAGAAAAGCAAAACATTACTGTACACAAAAGAAGGAAAGAAAAACTTGTTATTTATTTCCAAAAATAGGGGCTTTGCGTCCCCGAAGGCTACAAAAAGAAAGCAGAAGGGATACAATAAGCAGCTTCATCGGGCTCCAGGCACCTCCAGAACTTCAGCCGAGGGCGAGTCAGCGATAAATGGTTGAGAAGCTTCTGGAGCAGGCAGGAGAAGAACTTCGGCAGCGGGAACAGCTTGAGCAACTTGAGGTTCAGGAGCATGTTCCGACGGAGCGTCCTCGGACAAGTCCACTATCACCGCCTCGGGAGCATCAGCCGAGGTCTGCATCGGCGTAGGGGCTTCATCCTCGGCAGCAACCTGTGCTTCTGCCTGTGCCATCTCTGCCGAGGGCACATACTTGTGCACTTGGAAGAGAGGGGAGTCTGACGGGACTCCAGCAGCCTGGAGCGCCTCGTCCCACCCTTTCTTGAAGAACTCTTTGCTATTTTCTTCAAGAGCGGGGAGCACGTCATCGGCAAACTCCTCCAGGAGTTGTTCCTCCGACTTCCGGTTCAGCTCCTCGGCCCTGATCCTGTCTAGCTCCTGGGTAAGGGCCAGACAGCTTTCCTCGGAGCCCACTGCCCTCTCCTCCGCAGCAGAGAGCCGCTGCGTTTGCTCAGTAATCCTCCTCTCAGCATCGGCAAGTGCGGCACTTAGCTTTTCAGCGCCCACCTTGGCCGATTCGGCGTCCTTGAGGAGTTGCTCTATTTGAGCAGCCTGCCCCGCCAGGGTAGAATCCCGGGCAGCTACATCCTCCATTGCCCGGGCGAGGGCCGCTTCCGCCTCCTCCTTCTGACCTCGGGCCCTCTGGAGGTCCATCCTAGACCCGTGGTACCGAGCAGCTATGACAGAGATCTGCTGGGTAGCCTGCAAAGGAACGAAGAAGTGTTAATCACAAAAATGGAAACAAGAGTGAAGAAACCAAAGCAAAAATAAACTCACCACCAGGGAGTTCTGGATGATGGAGCGGAACAACACGTTGGTTGATCGCCCCCTATGAGCCTCCATGTCGGCCTCGAAGTGCAGTGTCTCACTCACTGCATTAGCGACATGAGGATCCGACAGAATAGAATCGTCGACCCTGATCACTCGGCTCATGTGATCAGTGGCTCGGGGATTCCACTCCGCGGCCTCCACCCGAGGCGGAACGGGAGGAGGGGTCTGCTGCTGTTGTTGTTGTTGCTGTCGGGGCTGCTGTTGCTGCTGCTGCAGCTGCTGTTGCGGAGGAGCGGGCGGTAATCCACGACCCCTCCCGCTTTGCTGCTGAGCGGGAGGTGCCCTGGATCCTCGGCCAAGACCGTCATGCCGATGCTTGACCCTTCTTTCCTCCTCCACCTGAGGGTCCCGGTCTCGCACCTGACCCCGACCAGGAACCCTTGATGATGGGGCAGAACTGGTCCCCGCTGAGGAGGTGCCGTCGGTCGTTCCTCGACCTCTCCCAGCTGCGAGGGCCTGCCTCTGCCTCAAGAACCCGAGGTCGATACGAGGAGTATTTGACATCGCGACTTCGAGCGCGTCCTCGGCGTCCAAAGATTGAAGAATTTGAAAGTCAGGCCACAAGTCACCTCCCGGAGTCCCCACCTCGGCGTCCGAAGGAGCAACGTCCTCTCTGACCCCGACCTCTTCAGCAACTCCCTCGACCTCTGCCTCAAGCCCGATCCGGGTCTTCCTCCAAATTTTCCTCAACCTCTAGCCTCGCCGCCTGATCGAAGAGTTCTGACCACTGCGAAGGCTCGAAAGGTTGAGGAAGCTGTGAAAACTTCTTATACCCGGGGGTATAGTACAGCAGATTATGAGCAGCTCGGCCGAACCCGTTGTCACCCGTGAAACTCCAAACTGTGATTAGGTCGGCAAAGTTCACCAGCGACCGAGGGGGTGGAGCTGTTATCAACAAAAAAGATTGTCATAAACATGAGAAGTCCCGAGAAACAAATAAAGAACCCGAAGGAACCGACGTACTTGTCGTTCTCCATTCCAGAGGGCAAAATAAGTCATTGTACTCGGGACCAACACCCCTCTGCCAACATCCCTTGAAGATTAAGATGTCGTCCTTGTACCCCTTGTCCGAGTCAGGAAGATGGGTTACAAGGTACATGGAGGGGTCCCTGGCTTTGAGGTAGAAGTGTTGGTGAGGCATGACTCTAAGGAGGGAGTAACAGAAAAGGAGATCATTGAGCCCAATATTCACCCCGAGGCGCCTATTGAGCTCTAAGACCCCCATGATTATTCGAAAGACATTAAGGCAGCATTGCCCGGGGAAGAGGCGAAAGCGAGACAGGAACTGAAGAAGCAGGGGGGTAAAGGAAACCTAATTCCACCCTCTATGATAGCCTTGGTATAGAAAGGCATGGCATCCTCGGCCCCGAAGGTAGATGAGTGCAACAATGGGTTAAAATCCACTACGTCTACACTCGGGGGAATGCCGTACTTGACCCTGAACCTATCGATCTGCTCCTCGCCTTTCACCTTGTATTTCCCTGACCCCGAGGGACCAGCCGGTGGATTCTCGGGAGCAGGGCGACGACGAGGCATCTCTAAAAGAAAAGGAAGAAAAAGGTATTTACTCTTGAAAACCCGAGGAAGTTCCCCGAGGGTTTAAATCAAGACGTGCCGACCGGATGACACCACCGTTCAATCGGAAAACAAAAAGGCTAGGAGGACGATAAAAAAGAAGGTTGTGAAACTCACCCGAAACGTCAAAAACGGAGTTTTTCAGGAAAAACTTTAAAATGACTCCCACCAGAAAGTCCAGGAATCAACAATGGGTTTGCTGGCTCTGTGATTTTGAGAGAAAGAGCAGTCGACGATGGCAGAAGGAACAAGAACTCCGGCGAAAGATCAAGAAAGGCGTACTCTGGATAAAAGATCGAAATGGCAAAACGATGGAAACCAGAGAAGAACCCCCTTTATATAGGGGGAAATTGTCATCATTGGGCGGGAGAACCAAAACAGCGCATTTAATGCGCACGACGTCCCAAGCCGGGGAAAGCTGCTCGAGGCCATAATGAAGGACGGATGGCAGTTGGGAAACCCTTCGTCTCCTTACAACGCGTGTCCTCGGTGTCAGAAGATCGAAGGCTGGGGGGCAGTTGATGGGACTCTTCTGAAAAGCCCTATGATGAAGACACGTGTCCTCGGGTTTTCTGGAACAGTGTTGCTCGGATTTAAGCACCATCGGCAAAGAGTGTCCTCTCCCCCGAGGTACCTCTCATATAGGATCATGCATTCGGTGTATTATACAACAACACGTGTCCTCGGTCACCCGTGTACCTCGGAAACATACCACCCTCGGTCCCCGAGGTGAGCCTTTCCTCGGTGCCGAGAGTCACTCCGTCCTGGACGCTTCCTCTACTCCCGGATAAAGCTACTGACGTACGGGTCATCAGCCTATGCCAGTCTAGACTATTCATCATGACCTCGTCTTACACAAGTAATGTCAGAACATACCGGAATACAGTAATCACAGCTAGTAAGGGATGGACGTGTGGCAAATGATGTCACATCAAAGACAGACAAACGACACGCCGTTACTGACACATGACTTGGGAAAGCAAACAATTAATTGCACCCTTCTGTTGACGAGACCGCATTCAATGCGGTAAGGTTCGGATATGAAAGGCAATAAATGTTCCTATTACAGAACATTTATTGCGTCCTTCCCGAAAGGGGCATATTGTACCGTCGGCGTCCCGACGACTCAGCATTGATTGCTCGGGACCCCGAGCAGTCAATTAGAGAAGACATTCCTCATCAAATCAATGCGCACGCTACCTGTGCCTGATGATCACCTACTGACCACACTGACAGCAATCATGAGCTTTTAAGGTATAAATACTTCTCCCAAAAGGCAAAGCGGGTATGCACTCACAAACTCTCTACTACAATAGAGGTTTTCTCAGTGTTTTCTTCTTCCTCTCTCTCATTCAAAGACTGACTAGACCGTCGGAGGGGATACGCCGGAACACACTCCGGCACCCTTCTAACTTGTTCCTCTTTATTCCAGGAAAACCTTTCACACTTACAGGATAGTTCTTCCTTTCCCCGGATCTTCTTTTGCCGTTCCAGGTTGCCACCGTATCTTGCAGGCTGTTTTAAGCAGCGTGTTTGGCCACCCAACCGGCTCACTCAAAGTTTCACCAGGGGAGAGATCTGTTCCAAATATTTTTTATATTGTGCAGGATCTTGCACGCACAATTTGGGATTCGGTTTATGGCCCCTCACAGAATGTCGTGGCTTATCAGATGATGTCCGGAAAAGAAATTATATCAAAGCAATATAAGACTAGCTTGGCTTCAGAACGTAGGGATCCAAAAAATTGTATCATTCTGATGGCACTGAGTCAAGCAACTAGAAAATTGAAAATGTGAAATATAGTGTTGCAAACGAAGCTACATTATATTATACAAATTATTTAGGTTGAGTGCATATACAAATTGGCTATGAGGTCCAATTCTTTGTCAATTCAGTGAATTTAATGTTTATATTCCATGTCTGTGGTGTAGACAAGGAGAGTTTCCCCCGTATGCGTGATTGCCACTTCTTGCATCACCATTTATTTTCAGGAAACTTCAGTATTTCAGCAGTGTCATGGTGTCTCTATTTTCAAAAGAAGTCTTGAAGATCAGTTAACCGAAAAAAAAGACAAGAAGAATTATTGGGAAAAATAGGCCTTAAATTAACAAGAAACGAGATTTGTTACAATCATGTATGTTCATTGATTGTGAAGAAACACAAGTCTAATGTTGTTAATAATGGTTGTGGCTGCCTGCCTGTGATGCCATTTTTCCTGTAAAATTGTTCCATTTTCAACCACAGATCCTGGTAAAAGTTTTATCCAATGAATACCTTTTTTAGATAAACATGGATTCATGTTCACTATACTTCTCCTACTTCATTTGCAGTGTCATATGGACAAACAGTGGATACACAAAAAGGAGTCGCATTGTTTGGTCGAGCCTGCATTGGGTGTCATGATGGAGGCGGAAACATAATACTACCAGTGAGTCTTCATAGACTTGTGCATCTCAATTTAATTACATCTGAAAACCTACTACTCTAATGCACTGCCTCTTCTTATCATCAGGGTGCAACACTCTTTCTGAAGGATCTACGAAGGTATAGGAATAAGCTTAAATATCCATCCATTGATGATTAGATGTCAATTTTGTTCCCCATATTTGTGGCGCCTGTTATGTGAAAGGAAATCAGGGAAGCATTTCATGTACAAGTTTTAGTGACTTTGCTAATGATTATCTTAGTATTTAAACTTTTGTTTCTGGAAATGGAAATGATTTTAAGTCAAAAAAGATATACTCAAACAAAGGGAAACAGAGGCCAATTCATGTTTTCACTTTTCATTTAACTGATCAAGTCTAGGTTTCACAGTAGTTGCTGGTGTGGAATGAGCATCCTATGCACAAAATGAATCAATTTATGATGGGTAGTCCTTGCTATTTCCAAAGATAAGAATGCGACACTGACTTCTGTGCCATACCAGCATTCACAAGTATATAGTGGTTAGTTACACCTAATGTATGTTCAAGTTATCACTCAAAAAAGTCAGATGGATCCTCAATGTTACAATCAATCCTAAAATGCTAACATCGATTCCAAGCAAACCTCATTTTTCCGTAATCTCTCACTTAGTTTGTTGTCTGATATGGAAAATTAGTTCTTGGGTATTGTAAAGTTTACCCTTTACAAATAAGATGTCTAGAATGGAATAATTGGCATTAGCTTACTACTTTTGTAGCAATGGAGTAGATACAGAAGAGGAGATATACCGCGTGACATACTATGGCAAGGGAAGAATGCCAGTAAGTTCTCTGCTGAAAAACATTTTTGCTGTATAGATTCTGTGGTTGGCTAAATATTTTAGCTGGTTTCTGCAGGGTTTTGGTGAGAACTGTACACCAAAGGGTCAATGCACATTTGGTCCCCGTCTAAAAGAAGATGAGATTAAACTCTTGGCAGAGTTTGTGAAGGCACAGGCTGACCAAGGTTGGCAAAACGTAGGAAATTATGGAGATTGATTCCGGTGAAAAAGATTCATTGCAATTGCTTCAATTAGCTACTCTGCTAATTCATTCTAGGCAATGTTTGTGTTAGTCACTATACCAACCTGTGGAACAGAAGCATTCCGTGAACATTGATTTATGAGTTAAATTACACATTGACCCCTAGAACTATGGCCTCGATCTCGCTTTACCCTCTCAGTATTAAGTTTCTCACATGGCCTGCAACTATTTGAATTGGTTTTACTTCAATAGTAAACATCCTGCTATATTTTGGATTGAAAATGATCGTATGTGCGATAATTAACATGTTTCCAAATTTTACAATTAGAGTAATGTGAAATTAATAATCATAGTTGGAGGTGCAACATAAGAAGTATGATAGTTGAGAGGCAATGTGAAACCAATAATGTAGTTATATGTGCAATGTGAGAAATAATAGTTAAGAGAGCAAAGTGAGAAAATAATAATTGAGAGAGCAACATGAAACAAGAGATATATCTGAGCTGACATAGAAGTTGAGGGGATCAAATTGTATTTGCATTATTATCAATGTTTTTTTGGCAGTTTTCACTTTTCACTTTTCACAACTGCATTAGACAGTCAGCTTCCAAAATAGAGTGCATTAGACAGTCCTGCAGTGAAATGGACATGTTTGTTCGACCATGGACTTTAAATAGCTTTATTTTGCTCGCAATGACTCTTATATGGCCAATATTTGCTAGGGTCCTCATCATAACCATTACAGACCGAAGCGCGGTTTAATTTTCGTCATCAGATTCAGAGCCTATCATTCCAATAGTGTTTTTCGTAGAAAATGACACAATGTGACACCTTTTTACTTCGGTGGAGAAGTTCATTTCCATTTTTAATGTCCAAAATTTTTCCAGCACAATGGCTAGAATTACCCAGTTTCTAACCTTAATCAACAATTTAACTGAAAATTGGGTTGAGCCTTTCTTAAGAGACTTATAATAAGTTTAGTTCGTCAAAAAAATTTATTTGGTAATAAGTTTATTTTTAATCTTACTAATAAATAGTTAAGTCAATTATTTTTTAAAATTTCAAAATAGATTTCTTTGAAATCAACATAAATTAATTTCCTATTTTTAAAATTATCATCCCTTAATTCATAAGAACATTTCATAAGAGAGTAGGCTATGTCTTCAAGTCACACACCCACCAGAAAGGCACAACTCATCTGACACTCTAGTTCCGACAACTCTTTCCCCTTCGTTTGAAACTGCAGTGGGCATCCCAGAATCGTCTCCTACGGTAGAAATCCTCTCCCATCTGGAATCCGCAAGTGTCCAATTGAAATGCGTGTGTGTGTGGAGGAAAAGGAGGAGAAAGTGAAAAAGAGTGAAGCAAGAGAAAGAAAGATAAAGAGGATGGGTTTCTGGAGAGATTCGGATTGGGGTGAGGGCTGAGAAGATTGGCGTAATTGGCGAGATTGGAAGAGGAATTTGCGTCCCCTTTCTTCATCTAAGAACTCCATAGTCAGATAAGAGCAAGAAAAAAAAAACAAAAGAACTCCATAGTCAAGAGAGGGAGAGAGAGAGAGAGACAGAGGTGGCTTATGTAGTAGTTTGTTAGTGTATGGGATTTTTTTCGGGACCTGAGGCTGCTTTCTAAGTAGTAGTGTGCGTTTGAACTACCAATGGTTGAATGGTAATTAATTTGGTAGTTAATTATGATTGAATTATTCATACCGATTATATTTTACTTCATTTTTTTAAAATATTATTATTTTTGGGTTTGAATATTCCATGTTTCTATTTTTTTTTGTTGAACTTGTTAAGTATGTTACTGTTTTTTTTTTGTTGAACATGTTACTATTGTTATTTTTTAAATATTAATATTCAATATTACCATTTTTTTTTGTTTTTGAATGTTACTATTTTTTTAAATGTTACTATTTTTTGTTTTGAATGTAATTATTTTTTGTTTTTAATATTACTATTTTTTTGTGTGTTTGAATGTTACTATTTTTCATAATCTATATATGGATATATAGATAGATAGGAGAGAGAGAATTTTAATTTTAGTCAAACTCCTAAAATTTAGAAGTTGTTAGTTTTAATTTTGTTTTAATTAAATATAGTCACTGAGGGTATTTTGAATAATAGAGATCAAAATAGACTTATTCTCAAACAAGTTTTCTTGATGGACTTATTACCAAATAAGTTCACATATAGGGACTGACACCCAAATTTCTCTAAAATAAATTAGATAGTGTATCTTGCCATTAATTCTTATATTATATGGTTATAAATAAGGTCGGTCCAACAATATACAAAATAAAGCCTAGCCTTTAGGCCTCAAATATTTGGAAAACCTCATAATTTTAGGAACATTACTAGTCCACAGATGGTGCATGACTAGGAGTACCATACTTCTAGAAGTAGTACCATGTATCTAAGCCTCAATCTCGTCACCCTTTGCCTGAACCTCCATAGTGTCAAATGTATATCTAGTATGTGTCTTGCTCTGTCTCAGAGACTTCTTCCTAAAGGTCTCTTGGGTCTCATTAGCTGATCAGACTCTAAAGCTCCAACACCCATGTCTAAACGAATGCAGGTGATCAGTGACCTAAATGACAGAGTATACGTAATCCTCCCCTCATCAAATGTTCTTTAAATGACCCAAAAATCACACGTGACATATCTATCCAAACCCGTACAAATCACATGTAAAAGATAAGATTGTGGTGTGGGAAATGTGGTTACATAAGTCTTCAAGTCAATGTTGTAGTTGACAATCAGATTTATAAACCTGTAGTCCCTTGTCAAGTCCTTTGTGGTACCACAACTAGCGGTTCCAACCTTCAAGGTAATAAACTCCGTACAAACACTTTAGCATTATCAGGTCTAAAGTGATAGGGATCTCGTGCTACCTAGGGAAGACATAGGGTGGTGGCAATATGGTTAGTAAAAAATTCAAATAACACACCTCGAATATATGTCGTGAAGTGCTAACTATCCTCTATAGTGTGCAAAACTTTTTGAACATGTCCACATTTGCAGGCATAAGGCCCGCAAATAACTCAGTCCACCATCTCGAGTCAAATAACGAGTAGACATAGGTGTTACTTACCCCAACGTGATTGACCCTTTGCTCCAGAAGCACAATTTGTGATGAAAACTATCTCTTATACATCTCTTGGTACTGTAGTATCTAAAAGTGAGCTCTAACACCTGAAACCTGTACTATCGCCCTTTTTCTCAGCTCGTGGTGGCATTTTCCAAAAATGAATCAATGAAATAGTGTAAATGTGTATGGTGAACTCAGATCTAAACTCAAACAACACTAAATCTCACTCTTTAGGAAGTTATATCACTTGGAAATGCTTTGGGTAAGGTAGAAAATGAGTGGGTTCTAGCTTCGAAGTGGTGGAAATGAGTTACTCCCATCAAAATCTAGTCTTTTAAACAAGCAATGCCGAATCCTGATGTAGACCGCTCGATGGAGGACTTTGGCCTCTCAAGCAAGGTCTAAAGCAGAACACTTTTACTTTTTGTAGTGTAGTCCACTTCAACCTTTTGCCAATCAATTCTCAACATGCATACATGATGTAAATAAAGCCTAACTGCAATTCAATGCAATGCATGGATGAATTTGGATCAAGATCATATGCAATTTTCAAAATTTAACAATAAATTCTCAAAATTCAAATAATCATGAAAATTACAAAAATTGACATTTTAATAGCTCGACAAAAAAATCAACATCTCAATATATTACCCTAAGACATATTTAAGAATATAAAACTCAATTTCATGCATCGTAAAGCAATGTTTCCTCACTTGGTTCAATTTCACACACACGTGATCAAATTTTGTTCACCTCTAATAAATTCAAGTGCATAGTGTATGAAACCAACCTCCAACACAAAAAGGATTCTGATTAGATTTAAATCATTAATAAGCTCATCATGAAATCCTAATGCATTGTTTTAGTGAAAACATGACCAATTAGTGAGTGTCCTTAATATTAATTTTTTGACAACTTCCCCTTTCTTTTATCCCTTCTACTCCATGACTTCAATCAACACAATTGTGAATTCCGTACTTTAACTATATGTTTTTAATCATGGTTAACAAGAGCTCTATGAGCTTTACGTAAAAGCAATTAATAGTTAAAGTGCAATTATTTTTATCCATTTATTTATGCTTCACCTTTTTAAATTTGGCCACATTAGGCTCTTTTCTCACAATTGGCCTTCGACATTGTTTAAGGGATTAGAGTTTAACTAACCTTTAACCAAATGTTCACCTATCATCAACACTTACAGTCCTTTAAGATTATTAATAACTCAAACTAATTAAAATCTTAAGTGTGAAGGTGAATGACATGCATATACTTGGTTTCAAATCTTTCAAAGGTAAACGCTATCCAAACACGCTAGGATGAAAGAGAATTTGACTAATGAATCATGCAATAAGATTATGCCACTATGTTCTTTATCCCATAATACGCCTCATAGCAATGCAAATTTGAACTTTGATTTTAGGATGAAATAATTTCAATACAAATCAAAGTGTGAATTATCATGATCATGAAACAAAGAAAAACAAATAAAAGAAAATCTTTTGCCTTTTTCTTTTTCAATGTTATTTAAATTTTCAATTAATCATATATACATGAAAAAGAATGCATAAAAATGCAATTAAAACAAAGGAAAAAAATAAAGTATTTATCATAAATCCTAATGATGAATGTTAAAATTGACATCAAATTTCTTTTATTTTTGGTTTTTAAAATTTCAAATGTTTTTTTTTTGTAATTTTCATATAGAAAACAAATGACAAAATAAAACACAAAAAAAAATATGTATAAAATGTATGACCCTAAGGTGTTCGATGAAATGCATTAAAGATCACTTAGGTCTATACTCTCACCTCTCCTACATCTTAGGAGCCATGGCCTTGCTAGAACCACTTGGGGCCTCTAATTTAGTTGAGATGGTGAGTTTCTCATGATCCTCCCTAGACACTCAAACTTGTTTTCGCTTTCTAAAACTCAGGTTAGGTCGGGGAATGAGTAGAGTACTAGCTCTCTTCTCCCCGGAAGTGTATAGATCAAACTTGAACTTGGGGTATAAGGAGCCTTGGGCACTCTAGCATGTAGTCCATGTAAAGATAACGCATGACTATGCTTGGACACACTTGACCTTTCTATAATATTGGAGAGAATGAAAACTTGATTGTTCAATGTTTTTGATTGGTTGGATAGGTGCTTGAGCTTTTTGTCTTAGACATCCCTATTTTGAATGCAATGTGTACTAAAGTGACCATGCTCTACACAAGTAAAACTCACAAATGATTTGGTTTGGGTATTCTTTTTAATTAGCTTATTTTCATGTTTACCCTTATCATTCTTAGTCTTTTTGGGAGTTGTGCTTACTCGTGAGGGTGTAGGGTAAGGATCACCCTTTACAAACATGGTCTTGGAAGAAGTGGATGTGTTTTGTTCATTAGTGAATGCTAATCCTTTCTTGTGAACAACACTTTTCCTATAGCCAACATTTTGTCAAGCTTTTCGATGCTTAGGGAAAAGTCTTTCTGAGAGCTCTTGTTATTCATGTAGGTCTCTATCAAGTTTGATAAGTTTAAATTCAAGACGTTTCTTAGACTCTAAAAGCCTATTGTGCTCTTTCTCTCAAGGAAGCTCACCTTGTCATGGAGGGACTTCATCTCCTCCACAAGCCCACAAATATAAGCATTGGACTTAACTAAGTTCACATGAAGTGCTTTCTTTTTGTCTTCACTCGTTTTGAGCCTCAAGAGCAATGAAAACAACTTCTCTCCTTGTTTTAGACACTCATTGTATATCCCATTATAAGCATCTTGGAGGCCCTCAACACTCTCAGTCTCATCCTCGCTTCCATTATTAAGTAATCTACATCCATATTGGGACTCAACTCAACTTCCTTTTTATCACCCTTTGAAGTTTCTCATGTGGGGGGGGGGGGGGGGGGGGAGGAATATGAACCTATAAAGGCTGTGAAGTTTTCTTTATCACTTGACAAAGAGGAGTCAACACTTATTGCAGACTCACTTTCATTTTTGCTCACCTTTGTCTTTAAGGCTCTCTTTCTATCCTTGGGCATGTCCTTCTTTTTAGTACTAGGAAATTCTACTGCTATATGTTCTAACCCTTGAAATTTATAGCATTGGAGACCTTTCCCCTTCTTCTCAACCTCATTTTGAGAAGATCTAACCCCACTTTCTTTTCCCTTTCTAGGATACTTGAGTCTACTTGGATTTTCTTTTGACCTTTAGGACTTGACACCACTAGCCTTGAAATATTTATTAAATTTTCTCACAAGATAGGCTATGTTCTCTTCTCCCAACTTGGGTGACTCGGATTTACCCCCTTCTTCAATTTTAGAGTTTAATGCTACACCCTTCACTTTCTTGGGTGGAAGAAGATTCATTGCTTGTCTTTTAAAGTGGGTTAAATGTAAATGGTTCCCAAGCTCAAGAGGTGTATCGTTTACTAACTTGTTCAACTACCAAGGTCATCTCCTTAGGGAAAACAAAGGTTAAATTTGATCAACGATAGACCAAGAAAAATGAAACTCTTCAATTTTGAAAAAGAATTTTCGAAAATGGGCAAACTAAATAACAATAATTAAATAAATCTGATTAATCATAATGTTCATCCCACTATGAATAATAATTTTGACCTAATCCTATAACTTACTCAAGATTGTAATCAAATGCACTGAAGCGAAAAATATTTAACTAAAACCAATGAAAGAGACAAAGTTGCATTTAAATTAACTGACTTAATTTTGAAAGAATACATTCACGTTGATTGTAGTGATTCCAAGAATTATTCATGCTGAACTAATTGTCTACGGATAAGCAAGAAGATATACATATCACCCATGTTTTCAACATTAATTATTCAATCAACAAAATAACTTAATCTTTGGAAAAACCCTAGTGCTTTATTCAATTCACCCTAATCTCCAAACATGATCCCGGTAGTGTGTATATGGCTTTTATGAGTAGGTGAGTGTTGCTCTCCCTCGGGTTTGATGCTAGAAATGGGGCAAATCATGTGTGCGAATTAAAATGTGTGTGTGCAAAAGTGCTCCTCAAGCGAAGAGAGTTTTGTAGAGTCATGTTTTACTTGGAATTGAGTATTCCAAGGTCTTCTCCTTAGGGAATGAAGGTCGAATTGTAGTGAAAGGTGATTTGTAAAGAAATGAAAAGTGTATGATTTTGTGAGTTTCTTGTTTTGGTGTGTGGATTTTTGATAAAATGCAAGAAAATAAGGTTGGCTAATCCAAAGAGGTAATTTCAATGAGAATGCAAAATTGGCTCTATTTATTCAACCAATGGTGTCTCGGTGTTTGATTGATTTGAAGGAAGTGAGGGACTAATGTGGATGTGTTAGACACAAGCATACCCCGTGACAAGTTGACGATATATCAAGAGCCCACAACCACGTCCACACTCAACCTAGTCAAACCAAACCACTTTATACTACGAAGATGAATGAATGAGAGTCGATTTCACGTACCCAAGAGGAAATTTCCTTTACATTAGCCAACTAATATTTTAGCTACAAATAGTCAAAGTAAGAACATACACAATGTAAAGAGACATGGTGATGAAATAAAGCTTAGAAATTGTATTGATGCAAGAAGAAGTTAAACTACAAAAGTAAATTTCATTCATACCCAAATGGAAAGCTTGGAAAGAAAAAAAATCTAACTGTAGACATAGAAATTCAAGAACATGAAGCTAGACTTGAGTACACTTGAAATAAATGAGATTAAAGTGCAAGAAGTAAAGATTACAATTAATTTAAAGCCTACAACTGAAATGGTGGAGGAAATACAAAAACCTAACTTTCTCTCTCTAAAACTTCATCTTCTTCCCTGAGCTTCTCTCTCTAAACTTATGTAAAAATCTGAATTTTTTTCAAAAGCTTCATCAAAATTCATCCATATCCCTTCCTTGGTTTGTGAGAACTGACTTCCTATCACTAAAAAGGGTATGGGTACTGCTACAAGCAACCATAGGCCCAACATCCCTCTTCCATGCTTCCGCTAACCACTCATCTTCTTTCTCTTCCTTCTCCATGATTTCTCTTCAAAAAATTAGGATTTAGGTGTAAGAGAGCATCATAGCGTGTCATAGATGTCAAAGCATGTGTGGGGGACAAGAGGTGGGCCCCCGAAGTAGGTGGAGTTGAGATTGTAGGCTTTTGGTATTTCTGGGCAAAACCTACCAGTAGAACAATCATAAAACCTACCAGTATATTTTTTTCAGTAGGCAAAATCTACCAGTAAGTTTTGGCAGAGGCTGTAGTAGAAGAAATCCAATGTACTAAACGAACTAGTAGGTTTTGATGAACTTCAACTGGTAGGTTTTCTCCTCTTTGGCATTTTCTTGGTCCCTTGATGTCTCGAGCCATCCATTCCCCTTCTTCTCAAGCACTTGATGGGAGACTTAATACATACCTTTACTTGCTCTTTACCTACCATCACACAAATCTCCATTAAAAGTGAGTTTAAATGCATTTTCCCCTATTTTCACCAAAAATGCAAGTATAAATGGGCACAAAGAGATAAATGATATGCAATATTCTATGCTCATCACACCCCCTAACTTGAGTTTTACAAGTCCCTAGCAAGCTTTATTTCCAAACCATAATGCATAAAGCTTAAACAATCCATTCACGCAAGGCAATTCACCAAACAATCAAAATACTCAAATCAAAATGCAATTAAGTGAATGAACTTGGGTAAGATGAAACAAAACAATTGTGGTTCTTTCATTCATTACTCCAAAAGGTTCAGTACAAAGATTAGAAGCCAAAAACAAAACGGCCTAATATCCAAGAGACTCTTCTACTAGGCTGACAACCCTAAATCCTATATATGGAACTACTAAAAGCAATAAAACCAAAAGATCTCCCAACGCCTTGTCCTCATCTCCTGTCCCCTCATCCTTTATCTCATAATCACTACCTTCCTCATCATCGGCATCCATATCATCAGAACCCTCCACCTCAACAACAGTAGAAACCATGGGAGCAGAGGTAGATGGGCTGACATTAGGAGGCGAAGACACATCGGGGATCGACTCTCCTAGGAAAGTGTGCTCATATATCCTCGTCATCATCAAGGAGAGCCGATGCATAGTCCCACCGAGGTTATTCATCCTTCTTTCCATAGTGTTTAGGCATTGAGAAACTGTGGGAGGCGGGGCAGTGGTGGATGGCCCGACAGTGGACGGTCCAGTTTGTGGATGGCTCATCTCTCGGTGCCCTTGCCCTCCCCCCTTCTGTTATCGCCATTCTCTTCTTGCTACTAGACTTCTTGATGGCTTCAAACTCCAGAGGTAGCAACACATCCTAGGGGTAGGCTTTGACCTTGGATTGGTAGCATATCCTTGTAACCAAGTTGGCGAATGGGAGATTCGCCTTCAGCTTGCTAGCCTTGGCAAACTTCTTCACGAATTCCCATATCATCAAGGCCACTTCCATCCTCTTCCCCATCATTAAAGCATGGAGGAGGGCAAGCTTCTCGTCCCTTGACATCTTCTCCGCACCCCAGGGTATCAGGTTGTAATGCATGACTTTGTTCATCACCTCGTATGAATGCTTGAGGGCCCTGACTTGAATTTTTCCCTTGAATTGTTTTGTGTCCTCATATGATGAGTGAGTTTTATACTTACGAATTGAGTACTCTTGGATTGATGAAATTGCAAGTTTTCAAGTATTTTATGTTCTTTTTTATTTGTTTTGTGTGTTTTAATGTTATTTTGTAAGAATCATCATTTGGAAGGAAATAAGGTCATTTGAGAGCCTAAGTGTTGAATTTTTGAAGACTAAGCACCAAGGGTAGCTCTAGGCTTAAAAGGGGATCAATGCCTTAGCGCTACAAACTAGTGCCTAGGCACTAGTAGGGCAGAAAGTTAGTGCCCCTGTGCTGATTTTAAGGGCTGCAGTGCTTGTTTTAATGTGGACGCAAATTTTGACTTGGTTTTGAGCCGAAATTGAACCCTAATGCTACATATATGCTAGGGTTTGAGTTGGGACTGAAATATACTGATTTTTGGGCCTGCTAATAGAGGATTAACCAAGAATTTAAAGAAAACTAAAGGCAAGAAACGAAGAAAGCGATACGAAGAAAATTGGACTTGAAGGCTAGGGAGGAATTGAAGATTGCAACTAAGTTTTTATTCTTTTCTCTTACTTTTACTTCTTGATTTTCTGAGATGTTGTTTAATTTGAAAATGATGCTTTTCAATTATGTTATGAACTAAATCTTTATTAAGATTGCAATGAAACCTGATGTTTAGTTAAATTGATCTACTCTCATTTCTAGTTCGATTGATCAAATATGAGTTGTTTGTTATATTTTGTGCTTAATATATGATTGTGTGGCTAGAAATTAATTTGATTCCCTAGATGAAATTGGGAGATGAATTCTAGGGATAAATTTGAATATGATAACATGCGTCTAGTTAATTCTTCTTCGGATTGGATAGCTAGGTTTGTGTATAGGATAAGAATATACCTATATGCTGTGTGTAAATTTTATGAGAGTTTGAATTTAATGAATCTATTCTAAATTACTTTGCATAGGAATATAGTAATTTAATTGGGAGAAATAATTTTATCTTACTATCGAAAGAGGTTTGATAAATAATTTTGAGTTATCAGTTAATAACTTATTTTGATCAATTAACTGGAAAGAGGGTGGAAAGATTTATACGAAGCATTAGGGGAAGTTGTGATGTTAACTTCTTTTATCTGGTAAATTCGATCCTTGATTATTCAGTTTAGATTTAGTTTTAAATTAGTGAATTCTTAGTCAATTCCAATTATTTAAATAAAATTGAATTGATATAAAGTTAGTACTTGAAAATTAT